GCGTTTTTAATATTTTTAAAAAGTAATTTATGAAGCCACTTTAATCTGTATCGCATAAAAACTTGTTATTAATTGTTATATTACAATCCTGCCACATTCAAAAAGCTTATTTTTTGTAAATAAAAAGCCTGACAATGTCACTGCTTAATACCTATAAGTATTGTGATTTATGTTTTACTTTGGCAATCTCTCTGTCTCCCTCTGTCAGACATGCAGTTCTACAGTACTTGTCACTGACAACCCACTAAACTATCAATTTAAACAAAAATTTACCGTCAACTACAGACGTTGCATCCATCGATTCCGCCATGTTTCTCATTGACACGCCCCCAACTCGGAAACTCGGGGCTTACAGAAAATTTAGAGTTTCCCACTCGTAATAACGACTTTGTGGTGGCGTTCATGTGCGTTCAACTCGTAAATATGATCTATCCGACATGACTTGAACGCACCATAAGACTTCCTCACCAGCCGCACTTCTGATCCCAACCAGGCTGGGAGGCGATGACAGATAGCCATTTTAATAATGAAGAGAAATGTCCATTATACATTTTTTATAAGTGATCCATCTGTGAATTTTGAGAGTGGAAACAACTATATAGATAGAGGTGAGTCACAGAGGGCACAGAGGTCAGACTATGTAAAATTTAGAGTCTGTGGTGGAATTGTTATTGCTTTGAAAAAAGTGTGCCTGTTGAAAGCGGATCTTTGTTCCATTTTCTCGTTTTTGTCTTTTTTGAATTTGCTGGTCATGGCTTTTATTTTGAAGTCTCTCTCTCTCTTTCTCTCTCTCTCTCTCTCTCTCTCTTGGATAGTTGTTTATGTGCTCCTCTTGATTATATTCACCTGTGACATGTTACCTAATTAGTTGATAAATATCCTTGTGTTTGTCTACTGCTGGTGAGTTTTTGGTTAAAGCTTTTCTTGCTGATGGTTCTAGAGTGTTTTGTCTGCGTTTTTTTCTTTCTTTATTTTCTTTAAAACACTAAATTTAGGTTTGCATTAAGTTGTAAAGTTAAATGGAGTTTTTGAATTGAATGTGGCCTACATAATTTTTTCCCTCTTGTGACATTGATTGCACAAGAATATTCCTATATTAATCAAGATGATGTGGTCATATTCAAATTATATAAGCATCAGTGGATTTACCTGATAGCCATAAGCAGATTAAATTGAGATGCACTATGTATTGGTACCATATTGGTTATTTTATTGTTTTTTTTAATGTATTTATTTATTGGTTTATTTTTAAAATTGTTTTTAATTATTTATTGATTTTTTTTAAATCATATTGGACAATATTGTATATGCTTTAGATTACCCTTCCCATCATCTAACACTTACTTAGCTTTCAAGATTGCTAATAATTAGACTAATAATTTAATAACACTGTTAAATGTATTTGTTTGGCATGTATCAGAATAAAAATCCATAAAAAAAAAAAAGACATTATAATGTGATTCACTTGTAACATTTTAAACGATTGATTTTAGTTTCTAGTGTTTCGTTTTTAATTTATTTAGATATAAAATAGTATAAAAATAGTAAATACGTACACAAAATAGTATAAAATTTAAATGCTGGCCATAACATGTAACTAATCATTGTAATATTTTAATATCGGTGCATCTTTAAGATATTCTGGCAATATTCTGGTTTGAAGAAACCAGAAAAAATATAACTATATGCTTTATAAGAAACACTTCTGGAGTTAGATAACTTAAGCAGTTTATTCCTAAAGTTTTGGGTTTGGATTATGTTTTGTGTCGGTTAATTAAATGTAGCACCTCAACATATATATTAATGATCAAGTATGTAATGATTCTCAATGGCTCACTCCCAATACCCATTTTATAATTTATGGCAGTTATTAAATGAGTTACTCAATGTAGTAATCCAGAAATCACTTTATTTTCTGTATAGGGCCTTCATTAATTTATGAAGCAACCTCTGTTCAGCTGACAGGATGTTTACTGCAACCAATTGAAACAAAATATCTTTTTATCTCTCACAATCAATGTGCAATTTAACTTTGCTCTTCATATATTAGCTTGCTTTGCTTGCATCGCCTCCATTTTTGTTGACATTATGGCATGAAAAGGTGTTTTGAAAAAAATTTGTGACATTTGAGGTAAGATGGGAAAATGTATAGAATATAGTTTTGGATTTATAATTTATTATTAGCATCACCGTATTTACAGTTAAAAAAAGACTTGAAGACTTGAATTTGAAATGTCTGGTCTGTCACGAGAGGAAGCAGTTTTGATTTCTCTCTGTTTGCCTTTAGCTTAGTCTCCTTTTAGAAGTTGTTCAAGAAACCTGACAATAATTATTTGTAGATCACAGACTTAGGTTTGCACAGTGACAGGTTAAAAAAAGAACATTGTTTGAAAATTGCACCTCCAACCTGAGGACACGACAGGAAGAGGCACGTAGGTAGCCCTATAACTTTAAACACTGTAGAAGCGCTGTCATCACACAGAATACAAAAGCCACTACCTTTGTATTTTTATGTGAATTGTGTTGTTGCGTTCCTGCTCGTCGTACACCGAGCTAATATATACAAAATCTGTTCGACAGGAATCAACAAAGCTGTCTTTGATGGGATTCCACCCACATCCTCATGGCGCTCAAAGCGGGTTTCTATGAGGAGAATGGAGAGATAACAACTGACATCAAAGGTATTCTCTCCTCATTTTCTTCACTAAATGTACAAGCCAAGGAGTAATCCATAAAGGATTTTAATGTATGCTAGCTGTATTCAGAGCATCAGCTCACCTACTTTTTCACTGGATCCATTTCTGAAAGACCATAGAGTAGGGCGCTTTATCAAAAAAAACAAAAAATGTTTATCAACATACTGTGCAGAATAATCGCAAAAAAAAAAAGCAATTTAATTAACATTTTTAATTTATAAAAGGTCTGTGCACAGTTAGAATTTGTTGTATTTATATATTTGTTTATTTATGTATTTATTTATGTATATATTTAATTTTAACATACTGTATTAAACAGTACAGTATAATCAGGGGTATTGAACATTTGCCAAATTTTTGACTGGAGAGCAAACATGACTTTACAGCTATTAAAAAAACAAAAAAACAATATATATATATATATATATACACACACTATGTATATGTGTATATATATATATGTGTATATGTATATGTATATATACATGTATGTATGTTTATATATATATATGTATATGTGTATATATATGTATGCATATGTGTATATATGTATGTATATGTGTATCTATGTATGTATATGTGTATATTTGTATGTGTATATATATATATATATATATATATAATTTATTTAAATGTATTTATTTTTTACAATTAAAATAAATCAAATTAACAAATGAAAAACTGAGGAAAATAGGATAAGATGGGATCTCATCTGATAGGATAAGATGCAGGCAAACAGTTTGATAAACTATGGTAGCTGAAATTTGGCTAAGATAAGCCGAATCATGATCTCTCCACAAACCAGTTATCTTTGTAGATTTCATCATTACAAGCCCTTTAGAGTCGGCTGGCAAGGGTTGCATGGCCAATTCACAGATGGGCTGTTGTAGTAAAAACATTGGATTTCTTGCAAGCTACAGCTGTATGCATGGTTTTTATTTCTTCGTATTATGTCCTGTATTCAACGCACCTCTCTGCAACCATTCTGGTGAGCGAGAGCTGTTCGTTTGTTGTTCTGAAGCATCTGTGCTGATAGCGAAGGAGTGTTTGTATGTGTACAGGAACAGAAATGTTGCAATCTTGGCTTTCGACGGGCAGCTGGATGCTGTGCTGAATTACTATGTTTTAGAACTTTGTAAAGATATTCTGTACATCAACACTGAACTCCAAAATATAAACTTTAAATGAGCGAACCAAAACCCTCTGAGCTACAGTTTGTATGAATTATGCAGTCACTTTTTTTTCATGCATTTCCAACTTGGTGTGATCTCGTTCTCTCAGTTCGAAAGGCACTTGTGAAACCTACTTGTTTTCTTCTCTTATACTTCTGTTTTTGCATCTTGAAGCTTGTACACTTCTAGGCATTCATGTTGGATATATAATAATCAATTGAATGGATCGTGTTCAGGACAGTGTCTGTGGAGATTTGTCTTACTTGCGTATTTTGATTTGCAGCTTTTTATGGTTAATTTATTTAAACGTTTTTAATGCAAGAAAAATATTCTGCTTTGTAGATTAGTAACACACTGCAAGCTTCATTATTTAACTGTAAGACAAATGTATCAGGGGATATACAGTATTACACATACAATATGGCTAAAATTTCAAATGTTAGGGTATGACCTAATGATTAATTTAAGCAGAATACAGGAAAAGTGGGTCATTTATGCTTTAATATGTAATATTAATATATGTATTTTCCTTTTTTTCTTTTCTATAGTGTACTGTAGTGTATATCTTTAGCTACACTAAGTCAGGAGTCGGAAATTTTCTTTTAATGTTTATTTATTTTTGTAAATAAGTTTCTTTTTGCTACTTAAGGCTGCATTTATATGATCAAAATACAGTAAAAACAGTAATATTTTGAAATATTATTACAATTTAAAAGTAATAATTTTCTATTTAATATATTTTAAAAATATTTTAAAAGCTGAATTTCAGCAGCCATTACTCAGTCTTCAGTGTCACAAGATCCTTCAGAAATCATTCAAATATTCATTTTAAATATTTAAATATTCCTATCTTATCAGATATCTTAACATATTTTATGATTATTATTATAATTTTTGTGGAACATATGATGCATTTCTACAACACAATGTAACAATGCAAATATCTTTACTATCACTTTTGATAAATTTAATGTGTCCATACTGAATAAAAGTATCTTACTTACAAAATGTTGCTGACCCCTTAAACCTTTCAATGGTAGCATATTTAAAAAGGTATTACCTGAAGGGCTAAGCCATTTGGACCTCAAAACAAAGTGTTTATTTAAAGTGTGTGATTTGCTTAAACATAATATTTTTCGGCTCCTGAAACACACACAAATAAATTATTTTAGCTGTGATATATAAAATTAAAATGAAGTGTCTATCTTCTGAATTAAAAAAAAGGAAATGAATAAGGTTGAGGTCAGCCAAATCATGTTCCCATGTTTATTTTCTATGCCGTTGTCTCCTCCAAAATTGCATTTCCCTGAGCAACTTAAACTGCTGTCTAATTGGCTTTCAGACAGTGGGCTTTTGATATAGTGTGGACTGACTTTTAGAGAACCTGATTTCAACCACAAAATTGCTGTTGCATTACATATGGTTCATAATGTTGCCACGACAACCCATCTGCTTCCATTAAACATGTATTTCCTACCTCAACTCATTTCCTTCCAAACTGTCTATAATAATCTAGATATATCTGCAGTACAGGTACTTATGTATTCTTGTGCTTTATATATGTGACCCTGGAGCACAAAAGCAGTCTTAAGTCGCTGGGGTATATTTGTAGCAATAGCCAAAAATACATTGTATAAGTCAAAATTATAGATTTTTGTTTTATGCCAAAAAATCATTAGGATATTAAGTAAAGATCATGTTCCATGAAGATATTTTGTAAATTTCCTACCGTAAATATATAAAAACTTAATTTTTGATTAGTAATATTATTTTTATACGAACAATTGACCCTTATGACTGGTTTTGTGGTCCAGGGTCACATATGATTCCCCCCAACTTCCCTGCATATGATTTCGTTTTCAGGCTATTTTGAGTGTCAGGTTTATTTTTAATGTTCCCAGTGCTCTCTCACAGAAAAGCATTTTCTATATGTGTATATTTTTACACTTTTACAGTATATGTTTTTTCTACATAAAGTAGCACACTGCTAGCAACAACACTGACAGATGGGACACAAGCTGACAAGATTTGCAGATATTACATGTTGTAGCATGTGTTTCTATTTCTATTGCATGGCCTTAACCAGGCATGAGTTACCAAATGCCAATCTCTTGACAAAATCTGATGATAACAAATCTGATGGTTTAGGGACTTGTGGGTAATGTCCTGTTCGTCACCGAACACTAACTTTGTCTCAGCCTCCATCAGGTCTCTTAGAGAAATGCGAGGGGGCGCAGGAAGGGGGCTTTGTTCATTATTTGCTCCCGCACAGTCGTCTATCGATCCATTTTTTCTTTGAGGGTCATTCTTCTTGCTCCTTTTTGGGGCACTGCTGTCTGGCTTTTTCGCTTTTCTCTTGTTTTGGCCCTTTTCCTCAGGCTGGTTTTTCTGGACAGCTGCAGGCGTTGGATGCTCTGTGTACTCGGGGAAAACCGTCTGCTCTAGTCCCTGGAGCTCCAGGCTTCCAGTCGAGTTTGCCATGATGTTACTGAAAGACAATTAAAATGAAAGGAATAGTTCTCCCAAGACTTTAAGTCAAGTTTGAACTTTAAACCATCGCTTCTGGCCAAAATACGAGTCCATAATCCACACTAATGCATCCTCCAGTAAAAGAAAAGTCCATCCACTGTTTTCCTCTCACATCAAAATCCACCCACATGTTTAGAACTGTTTTTGACTGTTTTCACTTAGAAACTGTCCTTGATTCAGATGAGAAAATCTTGTCTCTGGACTCGAGGTTTAGCTGGAATCAACGGTTTGAAGTTAAAAACGTCGTAACGATGGATTTGTTTCTTACAAACACTCAGCTTTTTACTTCACAAGACGTTAATTGATGGACTGGATATGTGTGGATTATTGTGATGTATTTATCAGCTGTTTGAACTGTCATACTGACGGCACCCATTCACTACAGATGATCCATTGGTGAGATGCAAAATTTCTTCAAATGTTCCGATGAAGAAACTAAATCATCTACATCTTGGATGTATGAGGGAGAGTACATTTTCAGCAAATTTTTGGGTAAGCTATTCCTTTAATGCTACACTATTTTAGGGGCATGTTTTTACATTCCACTGCACTGCTTTTCAATTGTTTGTGTGTGTGTGTTTTATGTAAACATGCAATATAGATGGACAATAACAGACACTCAACTTACAATCTACCCCAAACGCGGACTGTCCCATTCCTATGGGTTACTCCTCATGAATTCAAATAACCCAGGAATGCATTTACATCCCAAAGAAAGGCTGTTCTCTGCTTACAGACAGAGTTCAAACAAGTTCTCAATTCTCTAAGCAGGCTGAAACTTTAATACATTCGCTGCTATTATTCTTCTGTAAGAGCGCTGCTGTTAGTGTACTGTTAGAGAAGTCACTTAAATAATGTAGAGGGCCGGGGTGCTGATTCACTGCCGCTCTTGAGATTTGCTTAGGAAAAGGTCATTGTGACATATACACCTGTTGGCAATGAGCCGAGCTCCTGGTTTAAGAGTAGACTGCAAATTCTGCCATCTTTATTTGTGTGTGTGTGTGTTACTACCGTGTGGCGAGAAAGAGTGTGTTTGTCCTTTATAAATACATTTTAAACCAGGCTCACACTACAGGAATTTTAGGCCGATTTATCCCTGAAAACGAAAAAAAATCTTGTGTAGGGCCTCGGTCGGTTACAATGTTCGGCCCAGATTATCTGGTAATGTAAGGCATTTTCAGGTCTAATCTTAACCCTCCCGATCTGCTCGCAGACACATCAGATAATATCAACTATGTTTGATATTTAGGATTTTAAATCGATGGACGACGTGTCTTTCTCTCCTCTTCCTCTTAGCCATTGAGGCTGACGACGTTATCTAACACATTACTGTTAACAGATATTACAGTTCAATTTCACCTTCACCGAAGAACAGACAATATTCATTTCGTTATCCATTATGTCTGCTTCTGCATGAGATCAGGTGAGGTGCTTGCTTTGGCATGATAACCTTAATAATATCTTGTAGTGTGTAATGTGCAACGATTTTTTCAAATCATGTTTGAGATTTGAGAGAAGACTATTTGTAAAAATTCTCCTCATGTGCGTGATGCAACCAGATTTCATAATCGGTAAGGATTCAAAAACTGCTGTAGTCTGAGCCTGGCTTTACAATAGGCCATAAGAATTCTTGTTACAGTAGAGATGTGGGCACTAGATAAGGATTTAGGACTGTAGTGCCCACTAGGTGGCAATAAATAAATATTAAGTCAAGTTTATATATGAAATCATTTTTAAACACAGTAACTATTGCTGTATCCTTATTGATGCTTCAGCTGGGGGAAATAATAATGCTTACTGCTGCCTGAAGCAAATATATTTCTGTTAAATAAGCTTTGTTTATGTCAAGCTGCACTTACCTCTGAGTTTTCATAGTGAAGTGTGTCTTTTTGAATGCTTGAAGAATAACATTGTTTCTCTGACATCACCATGCAAGTTGTGGAATTGTGTTGTCCAATCAGTTTAGAGCACCAGGAATGACTGTTGTAGAGTGCAACAGTGCCCGCCCACTTTTTCAGCAGCCTTATTCTGGAATGTTTCGCATATAAGAATTTAAAAAAATAATTGTGGAAAAGACAAAGGTGCAAGACTGCGTGCATAAAGACTTTAATTAGGGAAAGAAGTACAATCCCATCAATTACATCATTTAAAAAAAAAATGAAAATAAAGACAATGGATAAATGTAAAACTATTGAATTTAAAAATGTTGATTATCTATAAAAAAACGAAAAATATATACACACACACACACACACACATATATATATATATATATATACAACTATAGTAAAGTTGTTTTTTTGGCGCAATTCATTTGATTCTTTGATTGGTGTAGTGTTTTTTTTTTTTTCCAGAATCATGGGTAATGTAGTGTTTCACTATAGGAATTCTGCTGCTGTTAAACATGATTTTTTTTTTTTTTTAAATGACAACCTTGTATCTCACAATAGGTCTGTTTTTTTTTTTTTTTCAAAGATATCATTAAAATTCAATTCCCCAGTGGAGATTAGGATTAATAGGATTCTTATTTCCAGAACCCGACTGTTGTACTCTATAGCTCATGATAAATTCTGTACTTTGATTGGTTGACATAATTAGCCAAAGCGACAGTCAGATATATGGCTAGTGTCAACATTTAAATCAGTTCTTACCCAAGTACTGATGGCTGTCTGTTTAAAATTAAGCAAGTTTTTATGATGTGTGAAGATTGCTCTCAACTTCATGCATTTCTCATTACAGTAAACACAACTCTATCTTCCATCACTGACAGCTTGTCGACAGATGCAGAGCTCTGTCTCTAAGGACAGTCTGCCAGTTGCTCAAAACATTGCATAATAATTCATTTATGTTACTCTAATATATACATTACATATACAGTATAGTAAGCATACACACTAATATATTGTCATATTTAGGGGCTAATATATTGCCAGCTCCTTGCTGTTGTCTTTTCAGTTAATTTCTCTCAGCTATGCAGGAAAAAAAAGTAACTCCTCTATTTTTGGTATTTAGTAAACTTTAATATTAGTTTACTTTACAAATAGTTACTAACAATTTACTTTCTTTTTTTTGCGGCAATGTTTAGGCTGACTTAATTGAAAATTACTCAAAAGCTACATGGCTTGTAGACTACATGCATAGTTATATGCATATTCATAATTGTTATTTTGCAGTAATATTTAACTTATATTAATAGTTAACACTGGAAACAAAACAAACACAACTGGTATCAAGAATCGGTAATTATTAGTATAATTTTTTGATTGTACTACTGTGTGTCATGATGAGTCTGTGTCACATCAACATCTGACAATATACATATACAGTATCTCACAGAAGTGAGTACACCCCTCACATTTTTGTAAATATTTTATTATATCTTTTCATGTGACAACACTGAAGAAATGACACTTTGCTACAATGTAAAGTAGTGAGTGTACAGCTTGTATAACAGTGTAAATTTGCTGTCCCCTCAAAATAACTCAACACACAGCCATTAATGTCTAAACCACTGGCCACAAAAGTGAGTACACCCCAAAGTGAAAATGTCCAAATTGAGGGGACAGCAAATTTACACTGTTATACAAGCTGTACACTCACTTCTTTACATTGTAGCAAAGTGTCATTTCGTCAGTGTTGTCACATGAAAAGATATAATAAAATATTTACAAAAATGTGAGGGGTGTACTCACTTCTGTGAGATACTGTAAATAGGCTAAATTACAGATGTGTAATTAAATAAATAAAAAATAATAATTTGGCCACAAATTAAATAACCCTTAACACTTTTTTTTGTTAGCCCAGAGAAGGTACGGTTGAGATGTGATTCACTGTTGTTATACAGATGAATGACTGTAAGTTGTCTGTCACATATAAATTGTGTTTAGTTTATATCTATAGAACTGGTATCAAGAATCAGTAATTATTAGTATCATTTTTTTTATTGTACTACTGCGTGTCATGAGTCTGTGTCACATCAACATCAGACAATATAAATAGGCTAAATTACAGATGTGTTATGAAGGGAATTGTAATTTTCCATTCTTAGGTTGTTGTGACACCTAGTCTGTCAGAGCCAATTAACTTAGAAAAATGTTTGGTAAGCTAGTAATGCTAAGTAGTGATGTAGTTTCCAGTAATTGTACACTGATTCTCTCTTGTTCATCGATAGGTATGAACTCACTATATTGCTAATATATTTCCTAATAATTAATTATTTATTTTCTCCCCGCCGGCCAGACGAATAGCTATGCTCTTGTTTTGCTGCGTTAAATCTTTATAAGACTGTCTGTTTCGATTAACCTTGACAATGGGCATTGCTCAAACAGTATGTCAATTGTTGGTAAGGTGACGATGAGGTAATGTTTTATTCTGACAATAAAATACTTGTCTCTCATACTCTGTGAGGAGGACAGCAGTCCCTATTGGAATGTCAACTTTATAAAATAAGACTGTGTGTGTTTTTACAGCCTGGGGGAAAATAAACTGTCTGCGGATGCTCCAGAAGATGATAAACTTAGAAGGGACTTCAAACCTAGAAGGGACCTCATATGTCCAAAAGGGGAAGAAGAAGAAGAAGAAAAAAAACAGTATCAGTGGAAGTGCTAAATAAATCACAAATATTATAATATATCAGAATTTACAGGGTGTTCAACTAGACAGTGCCTACTGCTCATAGGATTAAAATTGATTTTATTTTACAATGACAATGACGACCATGTTTTTTTATTCTTTTTTTCTTTCTTTCTTTCTTTCTTTCTTGATCACATGATTTTGGTTTGGTGGGCAAAAGTTGTAAAAAATATTAATATGCAGTGAAGCAGTTTTTAAATTAATATTATTATTATTGTTGTTGTTGTTTTTTTAAATAAATTAATTAATAATTTTAAAGGGGTCATATGATGCTATTTTAAAGATCATTATTTGGTGTATTTGGTGTAACAGAACATGTTGACATGCTTTAATGTTCAAAAAACACATTTTTCAAATACTGTACATTATTGTAGGAAGGATATAAAGAATATCTCTTTGGATTTGAGACTTTAGTCTTTGCAACTTTACAGATCGTCTTTATGCACCAAGAGCTTGTAACACTCCGAAGAGAAAGGAAAACTTGAAATCGCATCATATGACCCCTTTAAAAAGGCTTTTATTATTAAATTAAAGCCTTAAAATAAAAAAAAGTAAAATATGTAATTCACAAATTAAAAACATGCTCTTCATAAAATAGTTGCATTCAAGTAATTGTCAATGAATTGCATTTTTAACTTTAAATAAATAAATAAATCCTTCGGGGGCCACAAATTAACAAAGTAAACACTTTTTTTTGTTGTTAGTCCAGAGAAGGTACAGTTGATGATATACACTGTTGTTATACAGATTAATGGCTGTGAGTTGTCTGTCATATAAATTGTTTAGTTTATATCATGTCTAGCATTGATTTTCCAAAATGTCTGAGCTGCTGCAATTGTGTACATTCTCCATCATATACGCACACGCGCGCACACACACACACACATGTCTGGTCAGCTATCCTTGTGGGGACTCTCCATAGGCGTAATGGTTTTTCTACTGTACAGACCATATTTTCTATTGCCCTTCACCAACCCTACCCCTCACAGGAAACTTTCTGCATTTTTTGATTTTCAAAAAACAATTCTGTGTGATTTATTAGCTTGTTTACCGTGACACGAGTCCCCACGAGTCTGTGTGTATTCAGGTTTAAGTACCCACCAGAATAGAAAAACAGGTACACACACACACAGACTAAGACAAAGCCAGCACCATTCAATTTATTGTGTTCTCCTGCAATAAACTCTACAGACGTCGTTGCATGTTGACTCAGGATCTGGCCTGGACGATGGATGGTTTGGATGACAAACACACTCTTTCCTGTTCACCCCTGATGCATATAAATAGCTGCTTATTCATTTATCCGTCATGTACCACTTGTGCTTTTCACGGCAGACAGTGATTCCACTCGATGTCGTCAACAATTTACGATTTAATTTGTCTCCCGCTAAAGGACGTCTTGAATAGCTTCAATGTTACCACAATGAAGTGGAACATTTGTAAGAAATAGTCTCATTGAGCAGCTCTCTTTCTCTACATATTTTTTAGCCTTATTTTTAAGAACATTCAGCATCACTCAGGGAGGCTTCAATTACAAAGCAGTCGTGCTGTCATATACCGCATTTTAAGGAAGAGATATTGCACCACTTTTTACAGACCACTTTAATGCCCCCCCCCCTGCTGTTAATGAGATGTCTCATCCATATTAATCCATATTATTTCCGGAACCTTGAGAGCCTGTTTACTCTTTGCTGGTTCAAAGTGAAAATGGAATAGGAAGGCAATGCTGGGGAGTTTTAAAAAAAAAAGGAAAAAACATTAATAAATAGATTGTTTTGTGACTGAAATAAGGCTTGGTTTGAAGCACTTCTTAGTAAGAAACACACTGATGATTAAGTGTGAAGTCTTGACACTGTCACCACTGTGTCCACCAGTGAGTTTTGAGGTATTTGTCTCATTTGGCTTGTGTAATTGGATGATTCGTTTGTTGAATGCACAGGCTGAGGATTCCATTACCAGGCTACAGCCCAATGATGTGAAGCCCTTTAGAATTTGCAGTAGTTAAACAGGCCAACTGTCATAATATATTGTTGGTTCACAGAGAGAGTTGCTTGATCACAGCATTTTGCTCTTAATTAAAGCATTCTTGCCTCTTTAATATTGTAAAAGAAATAAATGAAAGCAGTGGCGGCGAGAAAGGAAAAATAAAAAGAATATTTCTTGAGAAAGAAATATAAAAGAACTTATAACTTCTGCAACTATCTGGAGATCATTACTGCACGTGATGGCCTGGTTTATAGGTGGAGTCCAAACCTAAGAGAGTTTTTACTCATGAACTCAGTTGTGTGTGCAACTCTGGATGGGAAAAAAAAAAAAATCTATGGAATTAGTTAGTCCTGTGTTTAAATAAATTGCAGGAGCTCATTCAAACTCTGGCTTTTATTTATTCCTTTTTTTCACACTCATTGAGGCCTGAAGGCTAAGATCCACTGGGCTAAGCTTCACATAACACCAGTGGACTCTCATTACGCCACTGGAATCTCATAGGCCCGGCTTAAATCATAAACCTTAACTGTAAACCTTACACCATGCCAATGCTTAATCTCATCCATATGTCAGCTCATTTATGAGCGGATAAATCAGAGGAGGATAAGTATCTGCTCCCCAGATTAATAGACCTTGGTGAGGAATAAAAGTGGATTAGAAAATGTTTTAGGGCCACATTGAGAGACCCACAATCCTCCACTCCATATATTTTCTCTGCAGGGAAAAGCCTGGTTAAAACTAAAATTTTTAAAGACGGAATTAATTAATTAATTGAAGAAATGAATAGAAACCTGCTGATTTTTACTTCTCTTCACGGGATAGTTTATCCATAACAATACAAAATCTTGTTATTTGCTCTGTTATTATTTATTGTATTTACTAATTCCTTTATTATATATTTCATGTCATTCCAAACTTCTATGATTATTTTTATTCTGATTAAAGGAGTGAGTCAAATTTAGGTCAGTACTCACTGATAATCTACTCTATTCAAGGAATAGTTTGCTGACACTGTACTCACCCTCGGGCCATCCAAGATATAGGCCTAGCTGAGTTTGTTTCTTCATCTGAACAGATTTGAAGAAATTTAGCATTACATCACTTGCTCACCAATGGATCCTCTGCAGTGAATGGGTGCCGTCAGAGTGAGTGTCCAAACAGCTGATAAAAACATTACAATAACTAACTATTAATAATCCATCAATTAATGTCTAAAGTGAAACGCTTAGTGTGTGTAAGAAACATCTCCATTATAAAGACGTTTTTAATGCTGCTTCTGGTCCTCTTACCATAATATTGCTTTCTGAAAAAGTTGTCTAATATGAATCAGGAGAGAAATGTGCACAGATCAAGCACCATTTACAAGTGCAATCGAAAAACAGTTCTAAACAAATATGTCAGTGGCTCTTGATATGAGAGGACAACAGGGGATGGACTTTTAAAGTGATGATTTACATTTAATGGTGTATTTCAGTATTTCATTAGAGATCAGCTGTTCCGGGACACATCAAATGTTTTAAAGCTTGATTGCACCCTTTGTTTGCATTTTTGCACCTAAGAACACTCCTGCAGTGCCTCTGGTGGATCTGGATGACTACAAACTAAATTCTATAAGAGACTGAGTTGGCATTGCAAACCTCTTAATGTGCAAATGTGCATGAAAAAAAACTACAGTGCAACCTCAGAAGACTAGAATAAACAGACACTGAGAGACAGATGGACATTAAAGACAGACAGAGTCTCTGATAGATGGGGGTAGAAAGCGCAGTCACAATCACGTCCATTAAATTGATTTTTTTTTCCCCCCAGAGTAAACCTGAGAAAGACTGTCTGATAGGATAGGCGGTGTTGATATTTAAAATGTAGTTTAAATTATTATTTTTTTTAAATGTCATACTTGTTAATTTTACTCTGACTAAAATGACATCTAATGTTAGTTAACAAAAATCCCATTTTATTTGATGAGAGAGCAAAATTAAACCAAATATTACATTGTTTTAAGTTATATATGTATCAGCATCTAAAAACTACATGTAAAAACGTTCCTTGTTGTGAAATCCTGAGCTTGTGTTATGTTGAGTACAGTTTTGTGAATTTTTTATGCTATAGTTATTTATTTTCAACTTTAGCTGTATTTAGTGTGTTGCCCCAGAAAAAGCATATAAAAAAACTTAAACTTCGCTTAAGTTGTGTGTATGCCCGATTAAAGTTGTAGGGTAGGTGATTTCGGAGAGGCTAGCATTAGCAAGCTAGCTTTGAAAGCAAGACCCAACCTTCCCTGCATAATCACTCTGCAAAGCCACGCCTCCTCCAAAACACATGAACGTGCACAGGCCGCCCAGAGGCTAATCATTGACACGATAAGAGACGGCGTTGGTGGCGGATGAATGCAATGCTGTCAGATTACCTCATGTCTCATTCACTAGTGAGAAAACATTACAGTACAAAGCTCATAATATTTAAATAATAACGCCTTCCATTGTCGCTCAGTCTGCAATAGAGTAATGGACTGCGCTGATGACGTGTCATGTCTGTGTGAACGGGGTGCAGAGGTATGCAAATACACACGTTGACAGGCAGGTAGGACAGCCTATAATGTTCGGACCGAATAATCTGATTGGTCGAACATTTAATGATCCTGTGCCTTCCACAGACGATGTAAATACATATAAATACATTTAGACCACTTAACTTATTGATTGCTATCGGGATGTGAAAAGACTTTCAACCAGCATAACAAAAAATGTTTTTGAACCAAATCACCTATCCTGTCTTTAATCTCATATAGTCAGGGTGCGAACTACGGGGGAGCTAGGGGGAGCTCGGCTCCCCTGTTCAAGTAAGTCAATCACCGACATTATTAACTATAATTTGATTATATGAAACAATCTTTTTTTAATCTTAGTTTTTGTCGAAAAAATATTTAGTTTTTTAAAAATATTTTTTCCTCCTACCTTATATTATTTCCGTTATCAATTTTCTGTTCGCCCACAAACATATCACTTTGCTCGACAAACTTTTCTTTTGCTTAAAAACCTTTT